GGAAAATAATGTACTGTAGATACAGAGGATTTCCCAGTCTCCATCCCTGATGCTGTGAAAGCATGAATGGACTCTGTGGTGCAGTCAAGAAAGGACGCTCTATATAGAGAGCATATGTATATTCCTGCTGCCTGCCTCGAACCTGCTCGCGCAGGAAGGAAGACGGAGCTGTTTCCGGCCCCTGAAGCACCCCAGGGACTTTCTTGAGCGGCCCCACCTTGGCGGAGCCCGCAAGCGCCTGTCCTTTTGGCGGGGCGTGTCTGTCTAATTTGATCTTATCTCTGCCCCTAGCCCCGCGCTCACTCGCGGCGCGCGCCGTACCACGTGACCGCATCTTTCCTTCTCCCCTCCCCCCCGCCCCACTTCCCGACCCTGGAGAGGGAGCCTGAGAAGAGTACGAGAAAGAAAGCGAGGTGGCCGTGAGTTCCCGCGAGATGTGACGGAAGCCTGTGGGGGACGCGGGGCTTGAATGCGTGCGGCTCGGCCGGCGGTCGTGAGGGGGTGAGGTGTTGTTTTTCTTCGGGGGAAACGGCGGCGGCTGGAGCGGCGGGAGGGAGGTGGCAGGCCGGGTCTTCGCCTTTCCCTGCTTGTGTGGACGTGGCTCAGCCCCCGCCTCTCCCGGCCGCCAGCTTCCATGGAAGTCGCCAGGCCCTGCTTGAGGAGAGCCGAGCCGAGCAGAACGGAGGAGAGGTGGGGGGAGCGGGAACATGGCGCCGCCGCCGCCGCTCTGTCTGCAGACGGAGACTGGGGGGGGGGGAAGCCTTTCTCGCCTCGTTGCCCAGAGAACGGCTCTGGGTTTTGGACGCCGTGCCTCGCCCCCGCCCCCAGGAGTCCCGCCGGGGAGAGCAGCGCGAGGGCGGTGTGTGCCTTCCCTCCCCGCCCCTCGCCTCGCCCTCTTCCCCCTCGGCCCAAACCGGTTCGCCTCCTCACTGGGGGTGTGGGGGGTCGTTCTAGGAAGCGTCCTCCCCCAAGGCCGAAGGGGTGTCCGGGGTGGCTGAAGGGGCGGCCCCCTCGAGTCTTTTTCGCGCTGGCACCTGCCCTGTCACCTAGCATGAGGAGGGGAAGGTGGGGTGCCGTGGGCCCTAATAATTCACACACGCATACACACAGGCACCGAGAAGGGAAGTGGGCGCTGGGGAGGCCTGGGAGTTCTTGGCTGGCCACGGACCCTATGGGTGCTGAAAAGGGGTGGGTAAGGACAGGTGGAGCCTCCCCTGCCCCTTTGCTGTGGGTAAAAGGGTGCCAGCAATTTCTCCTGCCTGTTTTGTTCAGTGCACCTGGACAGAAAGGGAGATGAAGGGGACAGAGTCGTCTCTTTCTATCTCTGCAGGTGGGGGTTATGAGCGGAAAGCAGGACAGTTGTGGGTGTATCTCTGAGCCAGGATGCTTGCCTTGGGTTAGCTCTTCAAAGGTTTCTTGATGTAGCTGAGGCTGCTGCTGTAGAGACTGCTCTGCCCCTCAGGCAATTTCCTTATTGTGGCCCAGGTCCTACAATTGCTAAACTGTGTATCCTTCCACCCGGCAGCATCTTGGGTTTCTGAGAGAAGCATTTGAGTTCACATCAAATAAAATGTTATAGTTCCAAAGCCTACTGGTAAAAGGAGCAGGTACTGGAAAACGTTCTCCTTTTTTTTCTTGAACATCAGTTTTCCTTGAGCAAAACTGCTGTGATTCATCATATCATCCTTGTCTTAATTTTCATAGCTTTAGTAGCTTAGAATGAGACAAAGGGTTTTTGAGGTTAAGAATACATGAGTTACTACCGTGTTTCCCTGAAAATAAGAGGGTCTTATATTAATTGCTCCAAAAAAAAACACACATTAGGGCTTATTTTCATGGGATGTTTTATTTTACAGTCATCTCATATTTTTCTGGTTGCTGCACAATGGTGGAGGGCAGGTTTCACTTAACTGGGGCTTGTTTTGGGGGTAGGGCTTATATTAGGAGCATCCTGAAAAATCATACTAGGGCTTATTTTCAGGTTAGGTCTTATTTTCAGGGGAACAGGGTATTGTATATTGTTGTCTGTTTTTCATGGTTTTGCTCACTCAGGTAGCTACAGATAAATTCTGTAAGCTGCCTGCTTAGCAACACTGGTTGCCACATTTAGCCTATCTAATGCTGCACTTGCATCAAGAATGTTTCTTGCATCTCCATTCCCCCATATTACTTTGTACAATCCATCTAATTTGCCATTTTCCTTCAGGTAATGTCTGAGGGCTTTGGGTGTACATATGCTTTTGGCTTTTCTTACCATAAGACTGTCAAATCAGTGTTGCCAAAGTATAAGTGACATTATGACATGTTTTCATTTACATTGATATACAGTAGTGTGGTGTGCCGTCTTAATACATAGTCTTTGACAGAGCCCACAATATTTTTTTCGTTATGGAATCCTGAAAACAGTTTAGAATAATTGTCCATTTTGTGTTTCCATTGGAAGAACTTTGATTTGGCTTCCAGTTCCTTGTTCCACTCTCCAGTTGACATGCTGTGGCCTCAGGACTGTGAAACTTGACTATGTTTTGAACCTTTTTTCTTGGTAACAGTGTAGCCGACTGTGACATCTCTTTTATTATCCCTTCTATTATTTATAATAGTCGTAGGGGAAGGATTTCCATGACATTTCATACTTTCTTTGCAACCTATACAGTTGGCTTTTCACTCTCGAATTGGGCTTTTCAGCCACACTAGACGCTGTTCCAAGTGCTCCATACAGAGCACGTTACCATAGTCTCTCGAAACTGAAGGATGCCTAATCTAAAAAAATCTAATACAGTTTAAACATATTTATGATTAATCTGACCTTTTTTACCAGATTTCTCATAGACATGTCCAAACCCACTTAAAAGTTCAAACATAGGCAACACAAAAATATGACATGTCATAGAAATCCTCCTCCTAGATACTGCTTTAAAATGGACCATTCATTTCTGGTAGTTTGTTGGCAATGTTTTTCCAGGAAGAGACAAATCTGCTAGAAACAATTGTTTCAAAACTTTTTTGTTGGCACTTTACTTTCTTGTCAAGTGTCAGTTGACATCTGAAGTATTTTCTGCAGTTGCTGTCAAAAATGACATTTTAAGAACTTAGTTAATTTTAGATGAATAAATAACTTGTTAACATGTTATTAGAGAAATGAAATTGGCTTTTATTACTATGCAATGTATGTTTGACAGCTGACATTGGTTGAACAATATTGTCCTGTATAACATCACTTGTGCTGGAATCCTATCTCGGCTTCATTAAACGTGTTTAGCTTTTTTGGGTTTCAATGGGGGACAGTTAAGCCTATGACCTCTCAATGAGACTGATACAATCAGGGAGAAATCCTGAGTTCCTGGGGAAAGTGGTTGAGATACCATTGAAAGATAAAGACCTCCCTCTCTGCCTGAAATGAGAGAGGAAAGTCTGCAGTTATAAAGTGTCATCTTCTGAAAGCTATCCTGATGCAGCCATAGAAAGCTCTGTCAACATTTCTGTGACAGCATTAGCAGGAGAGAGATGTCTTTGGGTAGATGAAGGAAGCCTTGTTCCTACTGAAACAAAACTTTCTGATTTCTCTGGCATACCACTCCAAAATGAAAAGAAACTAGGGAGGAAGAATGAAAAAATGGATCAATTTCACCTGTACTTCTGTCTGGCTACTTTCTTTACTATAGGTTCCCTGCTCCTCTGTAGCCTAAGATTTGGCTGTAAATGTACAAAACTATGGTAGTTTAGCTGTATCCAGAGAGATTGTTCAGTGAGGAACTGCTCTAGAAGTATGGTGATTAATTGCAGAAGTAGTCTGTGTAATGTATATAATGCTCATGTTTTTCTGCAGGCTTCGGTTAGGATCTCAAACGATGCAATACATCTGCACTGAAAACAGACATCAAAATATTTATCTGCTGTGACCTTGAAGTCTATGGTGGAGATGTAATGTGCCTGCAAGTTGTACTAGTAGCATAGAAAAAAGAGCTTGTGACATTTTGACTGTCTTGGGAATCTACACCAATGTCATGGGAAATTATGTGTTATCTTATTAAACTGCATTGATGCTGGAAAGATAGTAATAAGTAGGTCCTGTTCATTGATTCTGTTCCTACCTGACTTTACAGAAAATGTAACTGGTGTAAACTTGTACCTAGAGTAACTTCAGCATTCTCTAGACATTAGCACACATTTTGATAATTGATACATTAAATGTAAGACTAAACATTATTGAATTTTGCTTAACCTTCAAAAAAGCTTGATGAAAAGTTCTGTGTTAACCTACTGCATAAATTTTCACTATGGTGCTTGTGGAACCTAAAGTTATGTAGAAGCTAATCTGTGGTTTCTTAATGAGAAGGATACTCCTAACAGGGTTACCAAGGTTTGTGAGATACTTAAGGAGTGTTTTTGCCTTTGCAACCCCCTGCAGCCTGTTTATTTTCATGGCAGAGCAGGGATTTAAACCTAGATTTCCTGAGTACTATCCCTTAGTTTATCCAGTCACCATGCTGGTAGCTAAAGCATAGACTTACCTTTTATGATACTTTGAATTTGTTTAGAGTGACAAAGTGATTGTAGTCAATTGTTCATCAGTATGGACAAGGTCTTTATCAGGTAGTATTTATGATTTTTGATTAGCTTTAACAAGATCTACACTGTTTCTCACCCTTTTTCTTCATATTTTTAAAGGAAATTTAAATCATGCTCTGGTTTTTGCCCTTTGCTTGAATAAAACTGTATTTTAGTTTCAGCTGTCCACCTACAAAATTCAAATAGTAATACTGAACTCATCTTCACTGTTTAGCTCCCTCATGGTAGATGTCATCAGAACTAGCAAATGGCACTTCTGTTTATTACAGTGTGCTTTCTCTTGATTTTTTTAAAAAAGAATTTTTTTTCTTACTGTCATAATTCTGCTTTCATGTTAAACCATGCTTTGTTATCTGCTTTTTTAGATCTAATAGGGGTCTCAGTTCTGGTATACCAGTATACTTTTCTTTAAAATTAAATTGATGAAGTAAAAGAAAATGTTTAATATTAGAAATACATATATGTTGATTGACTGCAGCTTCTTTTATATGCTTCTAGAATGATGAATCCTGCTGTAAGGGAGACAGCAGCTGTTCATTCACAAGTTCTCTAATGTGGACTTGTGGATCATCTGGACTCATTTTAATCTTGCAGCCTAGATTTTTGTTGAAACATCTCTCCCACAAAAGAGCTATGCATCCCACTCACTCTTCACAGTCCGTTATGTTGAACAGGGACTCCAAATGAGGCCTAAGGAGTGAGCACAAGAAATCATACTTTTTCTGTGGTGGCTTTGTGTCTTTGGAATAAACTTCCAATAGAGGTTTGACACGCCCTTCCTCTCTAAGTGTTTAAGAAAGGGGTAAAAACTGAACTTTTAAAAGCATTTTTTTTTACTAAAAGTGGACCTGGGATTTTAAAGTTGTTTAATTGATTATTTTTGCCTAAAGGTTTGAAGGTAGCAAAGATTATACAAATTACATGTTTATTTTATATCATGTATTATTTGACTGAATTTTATTCTTGTAAGCTGTCCAGAGAGTGCTATGCACTGTAGGGCAATATACAAGTTTGAGAGAGAGCCAGAATTTTGCATGATAACAATCTTGGTTGCCCTGATTACCTCTGTTTGGGATAAACAGGGAAGTAGACATTGCTGAGCCATCTTGATCAATATATTACTTTATTGTATTGGGTTTCCTGGTGTTGGAGACAAAGTGATATAGTAGTTCCCCTCATACCTACAGGGTCAAACCGATATTCCAGAAAATATCAGTTGGAGATTTCTGACTACATTAGTTTAGTGCAGCCATATTACACCAATTAAATAATTAAATTGTCTGTGGGTTAACTTCTGAGCACAGCTCAGTGTAAAGTATTTGTGCTTGCTTACTTTTTAGGCTGTGAATAGTTTAGGATCCAAACACCTGGAAGAAGCCTTCTCAGAATACTGACAGCTGGTGAGGTGTAGTTTGGGAGGGGCCTTTTCTGTAGTGCCAGTCAACTTGGAAAAAATATTACTAAAAGAGTTTAACAATGGTAGTACAATATTTTGAATGCCAGTTCCAAACGTTTCTATTTGCTCAGGCATTTAAAACTGCCCAAACATGTTAAATGGATGCTAGGGTCAGCTTGGTAGTTTTATGTTCTTGTTACTTCTCAGTTTTACTCTTACATGAAAGTTGGTATTTTGTATTGCTTTTATTTTGTTATCTATGCCACTGTGGAGTCCATTAAGTGAGAATGTTTTAAAATAAATACATTGATTAATGTTTTATGATAAATAGTTGAAATGCCTCCCAGTTGCATTTCTACATGAAACAGATCTAAAACATAGATTGTCAGAGATGTTCATAAGGAATGTAGCTTCTCTGAGAAATTAAGTTGTTCAAGTCTCATTTGGTATAATTACACTTCCACTAACACAAATAAATTTTCTAATTGTACTTCATACATATTTTTTCTTTTCATTTTGTGACTATTTTCTCTTCTTTATAGAGGTTCATTAGGGTGAGATTTAACAATCACACACACACACACACACAAGTTTATTGCGTGGCACACAGGCTGTTGCAAAGTACATCAAATAAAAACAATACAATACAGTACAATTCAATACACTATAGTATGAGGGAGAAAACCCAAATCAAGTTAGATTTCTATCACAGCTAAAAACCTCTAACGCCTTTGAAAAAAACCTAAGGAAAACTGAGTGAAGGCAGTTGATAGATATACCATGTGATGAGAATTACAGGGCATGACTGTCCCTCTGGTGCCAATAACCTAATTTTGCTCAATCAGAAATTGAAGCTGTGTGTCCAAGAGAGATGTGCAGATTTGTGTTTTGGACAGAATCTCCCAGAATTCCTCAAGCAGCTGCTTGGGAGTTCTAGTCCAAGAACACAAATATCCACCCCTCTATAAAAGCATTCCAGGAAGGCTCCAATAAATGTTAGTTATCCCATTTTCAGTTGTGTTACATTGCACTATAATATTAAAACCTCAGAGGTACTCAGAGTACTGTGGCTCTGTATAATGCCAATGACACAACAAACATTTCTGGCAGGTTTCTTGGAGTGCTGTAAGAGTCAACCATAGTTTTCTTTCCTGTAAAGAAAAACCTAACAGCACTTTAATGAATTAAATAAAAGTCAGTTTTGGGAGATTTTGGAATGGTGGCTGTGGCAGTGTTTCAGAAAGGGAGCAGAATGGTACTGCTGTACAGTCTTCGCACATAATACAGTGAGTTGTGCCTAGTGGTCCAATAATAGTAATGATGACAGTAAGTTGTGTAGAGAACCAAGGGAAAAATAGCAGAACAAGTTATTTTTTAAAAAAGCGGTGTTCCAAGTCTTCAGGGTAGTATTTGCATTTTGCAGTGTTACTAGATAAGCTCTAATTACTCTTTCTAAGAGAGTAAATGGCTCCTTATTCAGTATTTCATCTTAAGAAATTATTAAACTGTTACTGAGCTCTGAGGATTTCCTGATACGTCTAGACATTATTTTTGATTACCTTAGTGAAATCTTACTGTCATTTTTCTTACACTAAGGTTCACCTTACAAGCAACAGTGGCAGGCTTGAGCATTTAAGCTGTTACTGCTCCAACAGCTTATGAAATAAGGTCCAAATTTAAAAGTAACCATATGTGATGTTCCACTTAAACCTGTTCAGCCTATTCCAGAGACGCAGAGACAGCCTGACTTCTGACATAAGAGCCCAGTTGTCTGGGAACAAATTGCAAGGATGTAAGCAGAGAAGTCAGGTAACTTATTTATCCCTGATGTTGTGTATCTTTTCCTTTTAAAATTCAATCCCTCTACCCTTGCTTTGAGTAACAAGGAGCAGAGTGGATCTAAACACATTGGTTTGCTGCCATCACATCTAGCTTGAGCCTGTCTTTACTGTTTCTAATCCGAAAAGAATACAGCTTCAAAATTTAACAGTGGCAGGAAAAAGTCATGATATTTCCCATTCAGCTCAGAACCATTTATGTATCAGGTCTATAGTATTATCAGGTCATGTAATGCTGTTGTTTCATCTATCAGGACAAAAAATGAATGCTTGCATGACTTCTTGTTGGAATAGATTTTATTTAAATTTTAATTTAAATCAATTTGATCTTTAAAAATGATTTTTATCCACCCTGTTTCTTGTGAACAGAGTATTACTCTTAATACTCTTGGAGTAGGACATAAGAGAGGCAAATTCATATTTTTAAGGCTATAAACTCGCTGAGGAAGTCATGGCCTCACAGGATAGGTCAGAATAAGCTAGTTTGACTATTTCCAATGTGTACTCTGTTGTAAATAGTCCTCAAATGTAACAGTTGTCATATTACTCATGTGTCAGGTCTATGGTATTATCAGGTCTATGTAATGTTATGCTATTGTATGTCTCATCTACAGTTGCTGTAGAAGGATTGGTTTGTAATAATGGGATTTTATTTACTATTTTCTGTTGACATACACCTAACCATCAGGTTTGATTATGTCCAGCATATGGCAGGACTACCTGAATGAACAAACTTGTATTTCTGGAATAGCTCCTTAGACTAATCTACATCACAGTACTGCTGTGAAGTCAAAATAGATAAACTGATACTTGAATCTTTTCCATGCCTTTCAAATAGGGTAAGAAAGTGCTAATGTAGTAACTGTCTGTTCCTGCTTGATTTGCAGAACCACTGAAATGAAAAGGAGGCTATTATAAGTTGTTTACCTTAGCAATTTTGGCTTGTGTATGAAATCTGCTGGATATAAATATACAATCTAATACATTTATATTCTGTTCTGTTAATAAAACATGTTTTCTGTATTTTGTACAAGTGTTTCTCAGTGTGGTGTACATAGAATACAAGGGGTTCAAGAGATAAATTTATAAATCTGCTTGGATTTCTTTTCTCTTTTCACATGTTTACAGAAACACATGCTTGAAATCATTAGTGTGTTCATTAAACTATTCCTCCTTTAGAGGCTTGGCCATATAAAAATATTCTGTGCTTGGGGTTTGGAGTTTTATGATGCTTGGTAACTTTGGGAGAATATTCTGACTCATTGCATATGTTTGTTGTTCCTATGTAGGAAATAGAAGGACCTGTAGAATATGAGTGATGACAAACCATTTTTATGCACTGCCCCTGGATGTGGACAGGTAATATATGTTAGATCTATTCATGCCAATCAACAGAAAAACCATTGCTTGCAATATAAAAAATGTTTATGTTGTAGTTTGCATTGTGAGGACATTTTCACTTATTGTGAAAAAGCAAGAAAAAGAATCATGTGGGTTGCATGTGACCCCCAGGCAGTTTCTGTGGGCATTACGTCCCCTTCCAGGTACTTCCCATAACAGAACAATAGCAAATTGCACCCCTCTGCTTGTATTGACAGGAAAAAATAAAGCTTTAAAAAAGATATTCCATTCAGTGCAGTTTCATTGAAAGAGGGTGGTTCAGCCTGCAGAGACCAAGGAGGGCAGATTAATGGATGCCAGAATCTTCTGGATTCAAGTTGGGCAGGAGCCCTTATCCAGCCATGCACGTGTTGGACTGCTTGCCAGGATGGTCAGTCTTGTTGTAGGGCAAAATGAGACATAGTCCTCCTCTCCTCCAACAAGTGATGGGTGTCATGACTGTTACACTGAACAGCAGATACCCGGGCAAGAAATGGGAATTGTACATAACCTGGAATCAAACAATGAGCACCAGTTTTTGTGGTGGTTCCTGATCCAACGGAGAATTTATGTTCAGAAGATTATGTAAATCAGAAAAAAAATTCAGAGGGGCTAGTTTCTGTTAGTAGCAAAATAGCAGTCTTAGAATTACTGCCTAATTAGGCTGAAACTGACTTTATAAATAAAGCTTGGATGTTCTGTTTTAGTGAAAAGATACATTACTCATCAAAAAGTGTAATGTTATGAACTTATGTTTAAGTATTCTATACCTCGATTGTGAAGAAGTTCTGTAATAATTTCTTCTGATTATGATAAGTAACATGGTGGTTACAAAGTAATAGCTTGAGTTTTCTTCGATTTAACATCACTTTAGTATCCTGTAGTAATGTCTTCATTCATGTAATGTTGGTACTTTCTGTATTCTTGTCTGTTGTGTATTTAAATATATACATATCACAGCTTTCATTCTCAAGAGCTGTTGCAGAGTATTCATGTGTTTTTGTATGAAACAGCTCTTTGAAAGTAGAGCTGTTTTCTGGTATAAACCTTCAGGTTTTAGTAATACATTTTCAGTAGTAAAAGAAACTTCTCTCAGTTTCAGTTTTCAGATGAATCCAGTAACATTCCTTATGTGAAATATTTCACATGTAATATCACCCTCACTGGGTATTTTAAAGAGCAGACTTAAGACCTGCCTCTTTAGGCAGGCTTTCCTCCTGTCATCACTTGATTTTTCTTCTTTTTCCCGTCTTGAACTATATTACTATTGTTTTTTATTTTATTATATTGTTTTTATTCCATTTTTTTATTGTTAGCTGCCCAGAGTATACTTTGATCTAGATGGGCAAGGTATAAATAAATAAACAAACAAACCATTTAAGGGAAACAGCTTGATTCTTGAAGATGTTTGCAGGTGTATTTCTTTAATCTTTGTTTTAATTGGGCTCTGTAGCTCTTTGTGATTTAACTAGATATAAAGCTAGATATGTTAGAGTTAGCTATACAGTAATGTATACTATATACTGAAACTATCACAGTGCTACTTTGTAGGCTAAAAGTAGTACAAATATCTAGTACCAAATCTTTGGTCTGCTTATTTTTGGGAGATTACAACTCTCATAATCCCTTATGATTTGTCATGGGATGAAAGCTTGTCCAAAATGACTGAAGCCTCAAGAATTCCTCTAGCCATGATTTATATCATCTGGTACAAGTCTGTTGTTCTACCAAATATCTACTTAAGTTGTGATTTACAAGTAAAACAGTAGTGACACTGGTAGTGTATGTAGCAGCACTTTTCTGATCTACTCCAAAGTTCTCAGTTTCAAAATCTTTTCTATTTATTGGGCCTTGCAAGGGCTTTCAGATTATCAGTTAATTCAGTAGTGGCCAATAGAGCTGTTGCTTCTACAGCCTATATAAAGCTGGGGTAGGTGACGTGCAGCCCTTCAGATGTACAACTCTCCTTTGCCCTAGCCAGCATGGCCTGCCATGTGGAGTGATGGATGTTGTGAGACAACCATGTCTAGTGCACCACATGTTACACATGCCAGCATTCTGCCCTTGGATGATAGCAGGGGTTTTGTGAGTCTGTGGCCAGGGACAGAATAATATGGGCCAATTATATAATGAGAGAACAAATAGTCAATGTCTACAACGGAAGCAGGGCAGGAAGTGTGCAGAAATGTCAGAATAGAGCTGCTTCAACAACACATTTTGATACATCCAGTGTTTCAGCATTGGAAACACAGTAGATTGCTATCTGCTTGCACCTTTGTGTAACTAGTGTAATGAAGTGGTAATCAGCATAAGAGAGAGAAATCTTGTGTCTGAAATATAATGAAAAGTTAATTTCAGTTATTTTCTTATGTTGTAATAGGATTATGGTATATTGTGGTCTAGACTGAGGATGGGCAAAGTGCTGCCTTCTAGATGCTGTTGGCCTGTAAGTCCAATCAGACCTGGAGATGATTCGTCAGATATTATGAGAGTTGCAATCCAGAACATCTGGAGGGTTGCAATTTGTCCACCCTGGATGATTTTGTCATTTTGTGTTGCTTTTTTCTTCGTTTGTTTTATCATTTCCAGTTCTGTGTTCTGAGAAATAAAATGCTAACATCATAATACTCAAAATGATAACTGCTATCAAGAGAGGTATACCTGTGGGCACTTGGAATTTACACAGTGCAGGCCCTTCAGACATTACAACTATGACAACCTAAAGAAACAATGGTTGTGAAGCTCATGCAGAAACAAAGTGCAAGTCTCCTTGTGTACTCAAAAAAAATTTCCCCCTTATTTTCTGCCAGCTAATAATGTTGAACCATCAAAATGAGTCATTTTATAAACTGACAAATCCCATCGTGAGGGTCTTGCTTTTATTATAGGTATTGTTGCAGTAGTTACCGCTCTGAACTCTTTGTGCAGATAACTTGTCCAAAAAAAAAAGGGTTCAAGTTGGAGAAAGAGCCCTTGTTAAAAGTCTGTCTTGTTTTCTTAATATTTATACTGCTGCTGCTTAAGTGCTAAAAACATTTTAAAGATTTTTTAAAAAAATTGGCCAGTGAATGCTAAAAATATTATTTACTGTATCATTAGTACTTCAGCTTTTAAAACTTGCATATTAACTTACTGCTAATTATGGAAATAGTTCTCCGTGTTGTTATCCCTTTATTCAGAATTCAAATTTATAACTATATTTCAAAACTTTCTGCCACAGCGTTTTACCAACGAGGATCATTTGGCTGTCCATAAACATAAACATGAGATGACACTGAAATTTGGTCCAGCTCGTAATGACAGTGTCATTGTAGCTGGTTAGTATATCTTTTTATTAATCCACCTTTCATTTGGAATGTGCACATATTTTGTGTATTTTCTGTATATGACTCTGACTCTGTAATCTATCAGGAAAAATATCAAAGGATTAATTCACTAATAAAACGCATCTTACTATGTCCTTTGCTTTGTTGCTCAGATCACTCATAGAAAAATAATCTTCTGTCTCTACAGGATTACTTCCAAATAATGAACAACAATCTAGACAAATTGAGTATTGTATTTGTAGCAAATCATACTGGCAGTTATAGTAACGTCTTGGAGAGCACTTGCATGGATAATCCTTTTAAAATCAATATTATGTGCTTATATGTGATTATGAGACAGATATTTATTGGTGGCTTTGCTTCTGATTGTGAACTTGGTTATAGCTTAAAAGATTTTTTACATCAAAATCAGTAGATTAGAACAGGACTACTACCTGATCTCTTTATATTTTTAAGTCGCTTCTACAATGAATTTTTGTTCATGAGCTTCTCTTTTGAAACTTCCTTAGAATATTAAAACAGGAAAATAAGGGGTCTTTGTGTATTGCAATTTTCCCTGGCTTTTCTAGAGCAGGAGCAGGCAACATGCTGCCCTTCAGGTGTTGTGCCTCCCGTAATCCCCTGTTATTGTCCATGCTGGCTGAAGCTTATAGAAGTTGTCTTCCAAAGCATCTGGCAGACTCTAGAAGAGTAATGCATTGTGGTTTTCACTCTTTACTGATGAAATTGCATGTCCTCCATGATTCTTTCATGAGACACTAATTATGAACAAAGAATATAGCTTGGTTTAGTAATTATGGCCAAAAGTGGGTTACATGAGGCTGAAAAGTAGATGCTTTCATATGAGGTGGCTCCACCAGATTCCTCCAATTTTCCTTTCCCACTGTAGTCTCTCATGCCCTCGCATGTGCTGTTCATAAGCATGCATTGACCTCAAGATAAACTCTTTGGGACTAGGGTGGGCTGAAACAAGCCAAGAAAGGGTAGGAAATCCCCATTGCAAAATCAGAACTGTAGCTGCATTTCTTGAAAGCATTCTTTTTTCTTGGAAGCTAACACTTCTAGGGAGGTATGTTAAGTGGTTTATAAGTAACTATTTGGATACTTATCTATCATTCTCAGCCTAATTTGCATATTTTATACTACTCTGCAGCACTGAATTATAGTGGAGTTCTGCAAAATAGGCAAAAGTCTTAAAAGGAAGAGAGTGACCATCTGAAGTCACTCTAGCATGAATGAAATCTGCTTTGCTTTATTAACATGATGAGTTTGTTTGTTTTGCCATGTCTTTAGTGTTGGTTGCATGATGTGCAGGCAGTAGAAGTGATTTTCCTTGTCAGTTTGAGGTTTTATATGGTTATTTTCACTACTGCAGCTACATTGATCTTATAATGTAAGCTCTGTTGAGATTTTTTTAAAATTATCACATATTCATTCAGCTGTGATAGTGGAAATTTAATATCATCCTAGGCAGACTGTTCTAGTAAGATTAAATCCATCCCCTTAACTTGGAATAATCCTTTTTCTGAATGACAAGAAATGGGTAAAGAAGTGCTGCTAGGTTACACAACTTACTTCTTACGGTTAATTATCTTGGCTGCAGTTGTTCAACCTGTGAAGAGAAGAACAGGAATAGAGAATGAGTGGCACTCTGCATGTTGCTGGATTTCAGCACCCATCCGTCCTAGCTTGCACAGTCAGTGGTCAGGGATGATGGGAGTTAAGAAATAAATAATTTTGATGATGGAATTGTTGGTAAATTGTACTTGGATTTCCCCTTCTATTCGCATACAGTGGGGTCTCGACTTACGAACGGCTCGACATACGAACGTTTCGACTTACGAACTGCTCTCATAGGAATATATGGACTCGACTTACGAACTTAGATTCGAGTTACGAACTCTTTTTTTTCCTTTTTTTTAAAGCTAAGTCATCTTAGGTTAAAAGAAAAAAAAGAAAAAATATCCCCCTCTAGTGGCAGAAGGCGGAATAGCAGCTTCCCATTAGTTTCTATGGACGAAAAGAGCAGACACGGATTAAATGGTTTTCAATGCATTATAAATTGTACTTGGATTTTCCCTTCTATTCGCATATACTTCCAACAGTTATATGACATCTTAATCTGCAGGTTTCAGTGCAGTGTGATACTGCTGCCTCCACGGAATAGCAGCTTCCCATTAGTTTCTATGGACGAAAAGAGCAGACACGGATTAAATGGTTTTCAATGCATTCCTATGGGAAATGCAGATTCGACTTAAGAACTTTTTGACCTGAGAACTGCCTTCCAATACGGATTAAGTTCGTAAGTCAAGACCCCAACAGTTATATGACATCTTAATCTGCAACTTTCAGTGCAGTGTGATACTGCTGCCTCCATAGCCCACTGACAAGTAAATTAATAAATTATCACCAATGAAAAGTGTATCTTCAATAACAAGGACAGGAAATATCTCTTTTCAAAGTATCTTACTCTGGAAAATAGCTTATAGTTTTTAAAACTAAACATTCTGTGTTCTGTGTCTTTTGCTTTAAAGTTTATTTGATTGTAGTCTTTGCATTGCTGGAAGATAATGTAGTGAATTTTAATTAAAAATAAGAGTAGGTGGACTGAATCCTGCTTAGAGCAGACCAACTGAAATGGATGGACGTTCTTAGGAACAACTAATTTATTTCAGTACATCTGCACTAGCTAAAACTAGCACTTGAGTTTAGATCAAAAGCAGCAAAATCATTAACATTTGTGTTATTGTACTCTTGTTGGGATCACTTGACACATTAATATTGTTATTGGTTTCCAAATATGTATTAATAGAGATGTGGACCTAAGGTGAAAGGAAAATCTTTTATTTCTCTCTTTAATTATAGATCAGACTCCAACACCAACTCGATTCCTGAAGAATTGTGAAGAAGTGGGTTTATTCAACGAGCTAGCAAGTCCTTTTGAAAATGAATTCAAAAAAGCCTCTGAAGATGATATTAAGAAAGTATGTTAATGCAAAGCATTCAATATATATTGCCTAGTACAGTAGTGATTGTTTGAATGTTCTTTGCCACTATGAATTTTGCATCAGCGACAGAAGGTGGTTAGTTTTTAATTTATCTTTGTGGTTAGAAAAATATCATAGTATCTATACTTGGAGGGAATAGTCTATTGAAAGCAATAGTACAAATAATCTAACCTGTCCTGATATTTATTTTCAAAGATAGTGTGTGATCTAAAAGAGTCTGAGATGTTGTTACCTTGCTTGAAAAAACGAATTGAAGTATCTCAACTTGTAGCTATTTTTATAGGATGAGATATACGTGCGGGATTTGCATAGACTAAACTTTTCTTGCTTGTAATTGAAAGTAATTTCCTTTTATTAGATACGTTATTTCTGTCCAGGTTGATTAGATGAGGGCAATACGTACAGTTGGCACAGGCAATATGAATTGCCCATTCTTCAAAGAAAGACCTACTTATTGATAGGTAGTTTGTAAAATTTAAATTCCGGTCCTTTCAGATGCCTCTAGATTTATCACCTCTTGCAACACCAATTATTAGAAATAAGATTGAAGAGCCTTCAGTTGTTGAGACAACTCACCAAGATAGTCCTTTACCTCATCCAGAGTCCACTACAAGTGACGAAAAGGTCAGTATGTTTTCAGAGTTCAGAATTGTAGCCTCTGTATGGATTTTGCTCATAAGTTAATAAAAGTTATTGGCCACAAGTATCTTTGCAAGTCAGCCTGCCCATGCATGTCTGAGATAGTCATTTACAGTACAACAACTTGGAGACGGGGGTGGGGTGGGGATCTGCTGCAGACTACAAAAATGTCAGTTACTGGTCATCTTAGCACAGTGTTAGTTCTCTGGATATATTGCAAAACTACTTTAGATGAAAATATTCCTAAAGCAGTCTTCATCTTTTCCGTCTTGTCCTTAAACACCTTAAACAGACCTTATGCGGTATCATCTGCCATGCATCTCAGAAGAAACTGGACAGATTTAAATGGCAACTCCATGCAAGCATGGCAGATATCTGTCAATGGGAGAAGATACAGAGAATATCTGTGCAATGGTGGCAGTGAAAAGGATTTCTGAGTTGCCAAAGATCTCCGGAGTTGTCATAGAATTTAGGAACTGCTTAATAAAGTGTTTGATTCTAAAAGGATCTTTGGAAAAGTCACCACTCCAATGACAAGCCGTTATGTTTCCTGTAGGAAGTGTGTCTGCAGCAAACTGCCCAGCCTACATCCACAATTGTTCGTCCAGCTTCTCTGCAGGTTCCTAATGTGTTGCTTGCAAGTTCTGACTCAAGTGTCATTATTCAGCAAGCCATACCTTCACCAACTTCTAGCACTGTCATAACCCAGGCTCCGTCCTCAAATAGGCCAATAGTGTGAGTTGTACATTTATATACATATTGTGAGATACAATATTTTAACATATCTCTATGTATACTGTGTTCCTGATTTTTAAAATATTTCACCCTAGTCATGTTAACTCCTCCTTAAGAGGAGGAAAAGAAGGAATGGTGGAAGGCTTCACTGACCTTTTTTAAAGTTGCAAAATACTCAGTAAAAATTCAAAGGATAGTAATATAGAATATTGACAAACTTTGTGATGAGAATTAAATGTCATATTTGCCTCTGTGGTGTCTAGGCGTATAACTTTGGGGGAGCGTTAACAATAATGGAAACTGAAAAGGTGGCTTTGGTGTTCTGTAAATATTTATCTCTGGTTTGAATCCGGATTTCGTGTGAGATTTCCATGAGTGGAACTCCACTCAGAGAATGCCCCTGTTGGAGGAACAGGAGGAAGATGATTTTCTCTGTTTCTTCTTCCTTCCTGTAGCTCCTGAAAAGCTGCCTGAAAGGCTTTAGGATTCTCAGAACAATGCAAGAGATGGTGTTAGTGGTTCCAGGAGGACAAAGGAGTTGTAGTGTATTGCCACCTTCCTTCATTGGATCTTGGTTGCTCCTCTGAATCCTGTCTTTAAAATAGGTACCTTAAAGATTAACTGCTGTATTTTAATGGGAGCTTTCATGGACAAGTCCACTTCCTCAGACCAGTCTGAGGAAGTGGTCTTGTCCACAAAAGCTCACATTAAAATATAGCAGTTAATTTTTAAGGTGTTGAAACTTTTTTTGTCTTTATTTTTTTATTTTCTTTTGTTTTTGCCTGATAATGATAGCACAGACTCACACGGCTACCTCTTCTAAAACTATAAAATAGGTATGTCAGTAATCTGCAAACTGTACAGGATCACCATGTTGGTTTATAAAATGTGTAATGTACTGTGTACCATAACTACTATAGTATTATTTTCTTTCTCTCCATTTCCTTTCTTAGACCTGTGCCAGGTCCTTTCCCCTTGCTTTTGCATCTTCCCAATGGACAAACCATGCCGGTTGCTATTCCTGCCTCAATCACAAATTCTAATGTACATGTTCCAACTGCAGTTCCAGTAAGTACGTGTATGTAGCATGTATCCAGAATATGGCTGAGGGTGACTGTGACACTAACTGATGTAGGTGGGGCCAGTCAGGAGGATGGAGGAGAGACATAATCATCAAAGTACACTGCCAGTTGGGAGGCTAAAGCTGGATTCCAGCCAAGATGCTGTGAAAAGAAAATCTCAGGGGAGAAGAGGACTAGATTTAGCCACTGAATATTAGAAGAGCTAACTGGTCTTAATGGTGAGAGCAGTTCAGCAGTTGAAATAATTGCCAGCTGTGGATGCTGTGTCTCTGGACTTATGGGGGGGCATTGGGGCTTGGGCTGACTCCTACAAAGGCCCCTTCCAGCTCTTGTGATTTTTTCCTAGCTCCTGTTCTTTGGTCATTCATTGGAATGAGAGTTCTGACAGCAAAAATAACACCAGTTAATCCACATGAAAAGCAAGAACTTTTAAGTTAGTAATACAATGTCAGGTAGCAGAGCACCAAATAAAAATTAGGCGAAATTGCCACAATTATTAATAAAATTGAAAATAAATCCATAAATAGTCTGACTGTATAGGAGTCTTAACTTAGCATGTAAGTTAAAATCATGTTGCATCCTCACAAATGTGTCTGTGGAGGATTTCTGGAGAAAGAGTGCCAATGCTGGGAGGTTCCCCTTCATGGACATTATCCTTTTGGTGGGGAAAGAGGGGGGATGTCCAGGGAAGGGCATCTGACATGCATCTTAATTTCTGATAAAGTAGTCAAGTATGAATATTCATTGCGGTTGAGACTTCCACTGGAAGTAGGTAGATAGTCCTTGTTATGAAATAAAGTGGGGTATTCCTTTACTCGTGTAATAACTCTTGACTTTCCTGAACAGCTGGTTAGACCAGTGACTGTGGTGCCCAGTATTCCAGGAATCCCAGGGCCCTCTTCTCCACAACCTGTGCAGTCAGAGGCAAAATTAGTAAGTGTTCCATTGCTCTTTGTTCTGCTGAATTTACACCTAATGGTTAATAAATGCATTGATTACATTACAATTTTAAATATTTTTCTTTCCTTTCTTTTAATTTTTAGATTTCTGTTCGTATCCTTTATTTTACCCTGTTTCCCTGAAAATAAGACCTAACCTGAAAATAAGCCCTATTATGATTTTTCAGGATGCTTGTAATATAAAGCCTACCCCCCAAAATAAGCCCCAGTTAAGTGAAACCCCGCCCTCCACCATTGTGCAGCAACCAGAAGAAGATGACATGACTGTATTTGAATACATGTAGATTGTTGTACATGGAAAAAATAAAACATTCCCTGAAAACAAGCCCTAATGCGTTTTTGGAGCAAAAATTAGTATAAGAACCTGTCTTTATTTTCAGGGAAACATGGTAATATATTTATTAGGCTGCTATATTTTCTGTCCTGAAGCAACTGGACATGAAAATATTGGTGTGTAGGAATTCTACACTTTCAGAAGGAGGAAATTGAGATCAACTTTTGCAATTTATTGTAGTGGTAGAGTTTTAGAGTTTTAGTTATGATTTTTCACGTGTTACCGCAGTAATAGTGCCCTCATCAGCTTGCCATAGTATAACTTGCTTTACTGACATCTTGCTTGAATATTGCTATCTGCTTATCTCCCCGCTCCCAAGTTAATTAAATCCAGTATAAACTGATAGATGCTGTTCCTCACAATGCTACATTTATTTATAAATCAGTCTGGTAGTATCTCAGATTTATGGGGCAATGCACTACTGTAGTTATTTCCAGACGAAAGTGGAGCTGGGTGGATCTTGGCCAATTTTATCCAATTAGCTCATATGTTGCTGGAAAAACTAATAATGTTAACACAATTTAAGTGTTAGTCATTTCTAAATTTATATATATTAATGTTAAATGAGATTCTGGTAAACAATTATGTTAGACTCTCTCTCCCTTTTCATTTGGTCTGGTGGGGGCAGCTGGGATTTTGACTCTATGCCGTGGGTGTCTCAAAAAAATGGCTACACAAAATTATAAACAGCCAAGTTGTTTTATATAAGATAGTAACTGATCATTTATATAGGCTGAAATCCAGTAGTAAGTGACAACTAAAGTAGGCCCATTGAATTAGTGGAGACTCTGTACATCCCATTTATTCAACAGGCCTACTCTGTTTGAGACTAACTACTGGTTATCAGCCATGATGTAGATGTGGGGCATTAATGCAGAGGCTGAATGTATTAAGTCACTGTTTCTCAAAACAATGCTTGGATATATATCCACTTCTTAGTCCAAGGTACATTAAACTTTACACTTCCGTTAAATCAGTGGGAACTTAATAAGTCAACACTTAATATAAATCTTATTGAGCAGGTCAATTCTAGTTGAGAGTAACTATTGGATTTACACTATGGTGTCTATAGATCTGCAAATAATGTGACAGTGGATTTGGTTTAGATCAATTTGATCTGAATCACAAATTAAATTTAAAAAATCAAATTTTTAATTATTTAAATCACTTAAGAGTTCTAAATACCTGTAACAATTAGATTCCCTTTATGCTCTTCTTTATAAATACATTGCCTTTTCTCTGTCGTGTTGAGGGCATAATAAGCGCTGGATAAGTCTCCTTTAGAAACTTCCTGTTTTTACAGTTTAGATTATCTGAAAACTGTGTACATTGTAATTTTTATCTTGATAGCAGGGAATACCATATGTTTCCATTTATAAGATGCCCCCCTTTCTAACCTCCAAATTAAGAAATCTTAACTTAGCTTTGTATTCAGTCTCTGGGCTCAGACATTATGAGTCCCTGTTGTATCTGAGCGCTGCCTACAGCTCCACCTCCAACGAGGTGCATTCCACTTGGTTTGTTCAGCATCAGCTGACATCAGTTACATAAGGCTTGTTATTGGAGGAAACAAATTCTCTTGACTGTAGCAAGCTAAGCCTCCTGATTGGAGGCAGCCTGTTTGCAGAGGCAAGGTATTGGCCGTTTTGTTCCTTCCTTAGCTTACTTTCGTTTATAAGATGCCCCATAGTCTTTAGTCTAAAGGTTTTAGATAAAAAATATCGTCTTATACATGGAAAAATACTCTTTTCTCCTTCTTGGTAGAGATTAGTAATTATATGTTTGCTCCTGGTTAATAATACCTCTGAGGTCACAGAAAAAGTTGCAGTAGCTTTTGAACATTGCAGTTATACATAATAAGATCAAAATTCACACGGATCTGGTTTAGCTGCAGTCCTGTCTCAGTTTCATGTTGATGGTTTACTTGTTTGGTAATTGTTGCCTGGGTTTTTATCTAGTTATGTGTAGCACTGTGCTTTTTCCCTTTGTGCAAGTAGTCTACGATGAATTCAATTGAAATATATTACATCCCCCTCCTCTGCATGGATATGCTGGATGTACTCTAAAATGACTAATGCAATATTTTTCTGAGTGTAGATAAGAGTAGATTTCATTAAAATTATACTCAGAAGTAGAGATACCGTATTTTCTGCTCCATAAGATGCACTTCCCCCCCAAAAAAAGTGGGAGGGAAGTCTGTGCGTCTTATGGAGCGAAGGCCACAATTTCTCCCCCCACAGGCCCCATGGGGGGAGCCTCGCAAGGGTCCGAGTGAGCCTTTCAAGCCTCAGAAAAAGTGCTAGAACCTGGCAGTTTTGCCCCCGCTGGCCCCGTGGAGGTGGGAGGAGCCTCGCAAGGGTCTTGGAACAGACCCTAGGACCCTTTGGAGGCTCCCCCTGCCCCCCCGCAGGGCCAGCGCAGGCAAAATCGCCACCTTCTGGGAGTCTTTTAAGGCTTGGGAAGCTTCTAAGACTCCCAGAAGGTGGCGCTTTTGCCCCCTCTGACCCCGGGGAGGCCGGGTGTGTCTCTAAAGGGTCCTGGAACACACCCTAGGGCCCTTTGGAGGCTTCCCCTGGCCCCCCGCCAGGCCAGAGGGGGCAAAATCGCCACCTTCTGGAACTCTTGATGCTTGGGAAGCTTCAGAAGAGTTCCAGAAGGTGGCGATTTCGCCCCCTCTGACCCCGGAGGGGCAGGATGAGTCTCTAAAGGGTCCTGGAACACACCCTAGGGCCCTTTGGAGGCTTCCCCTGGCCCCCCGCCAGGCCAGAGGGGGCAAAACTGCCACTTTCTGGGACTCTTGAGGCTTGGGAAGCTTCAGAAGAGTCCCAGAAGGTGGCGATTTCACCCCCTCGGGGGGGGGGGGCTGGGGGAGCCCCCAAAGGGTCCTAGGGGGTGTTCCATAAGACGTGTCTCCATAAGGCTCACCAATTTTTAGGAGAAGAAAACAGATATTTTTCCTGTTTCCTTCTAAAAATTTGGTGCTTCTTATGGAGATGTGCGTCTTATGGAGCGAAAAATACGGTATATTGAATTTAATTACATGATTTTTCTTTAACTTGGAAAAAATTGACTTTTGCTCACTAGAACTTCCCTGCCCAGATTATCTCCGCCTCAGAAAAAATATTAATCGTTGACTTTTCCCATGTCTAAAAGTGTGCTTGTAAAGGTTCCGGTTTGACTTTATCCAAAACTGCAGACAGATAGTAGGGATTGTTATAGGTTTCCAAGAATTTACAGTGTTATATGATGATAGCTGAAATCCAGTTGGCACAACTATGCGGGTGTAATAGAGTGGTCTATTCGTCCAGATAGGCGGGATATAAATCAAATAAATAAATAAATACATAAATTAAATAAATAAATGGTGATGATGTCATCAGTTGGCAATCTTACTCTTTAATTTAATTGAAAGTTTGCTATCTCCCTGATCTTAATGGTAGTGATCTGGTAGTGATTTTCTGTAACTAAAATATTTCCTCTTCTGAGGCTTCCACATACTTCCTCCAGTCAAAAGGGATTCCTAGAGATTCTTGGTGCCTGGTAGCAGGTGAATAAAAAGCTTTCAGTTAACTTAAAGAATAATATTGTGGGCTGATCAATGTATTCTCTAATTTTCAGCCCCACTGGGTGGGGCTCCGCCTCTTGCACGCACAGCCGGGAACCTAACACTATCGCTGCATGGAGAAGGAAGACAACTGCACGGAGGGAAGCCGAGTCGTGCATGCACGCGCCCAGCTGAGTGGGAACCTTGCTGAATATATCATTGCCACCCACCTCCGCATAGTTATTCAACAGGATTTCAGCCGTTGAAAGAGAGATGGAGTTTAATGGCCCAATAATAATTTTGGTTTGAAAAAGCCTGATTAGGTCTGTTATTTATTCTCTCTCTATATATATTGTCTCTAGCAATAAAAGCTTCGTTTGAGAACTGACAGTTTTTATGATGATCTTTGCTAGGCTGAGTACTGGGGGGGAGAGAGAAAAATTAACCTGAGTAACTTGTACTGAAGCTTGAAGAAATTAAGGCCCCAGTCTAAGAACAGCAGAATCTAATTTAAAAAATTAAAATACGTTTTAGAAAATTTCAAATGAATATATTGTCTCATAGTGTAGAATTATAAATTAAGGTCCTTATTCTGTAATGAGATTCTTGACCTGTGAGATAGTTTAAAATAAAATTATTATCAGATATGACTTTTTTTTTTTAAAGAAAAGACTTTTAAAAATAAAAAGACTTAAAAATACAATTTAAGTAAAAATTCAATTAAAATTTTTAGATTCTTTTATTTTGTAATCATTGATTTTTATTCACACCTGTGTTGTTTCTCTTTAGCATTAAGATTTGCCTTAATGTGAAAGAAAAATGACCTGACAAGACTTTTAATAGCCAGAATACCTTTTTGTTCATGATCTGTGAAAGAACCCTGCACTATTTCTTCCTGATGATTACAGATTTTCATACATTGGAAATTTGTCATTTTTTGGGTTCATGATCTGTGAAAGTTGTGAAAGAACCCTGCACTATTTCTTCCTGGTGATTACAGATTTTCATACATTGGAAATTTGTCATTTTTTTGTAGCTCTTCCTTACTTATTGGGACAAAAAACAAAACATGGGAAACAGCAATTGATTAGTGGTA